CTTACAACTGCATATGAATTTTCTTCAGTAGGGTTTAGCTTTATTCAGACGACTAACTTGGGGAATTTTCTACTATTCTATCATTATTAATTCCCTCCTGGCACTACATTTTATCTTACAGTTGATTTTTTTCTGTTCTAAGTCAGATGCTAGGTTTATATATTTTTACAATACATTTTTACATCTTACATTTTAGTAAAAAGTAAAAATATAGGCTCATGCCTACTCAGGAAAGCTGACATTTGAGGATCACTGTCCTGTGAAACTGTTATCTCCAATTAATCACCAAAAAGCCAGGACTAGATTGTGACTTAACTGGTAAAGTACTAACTAGCCTTGAGCAAAAAAGATCAGGCCCTGAGTTCAAGCACCAGGATCAGCATACATACACACACACACACACACACACACACACACACGCACACACACACCCCACCACCACCACCACCACCAACAACAACAACAACAATAACAACAACCTTGAAGCTGTACATTTTCCTCAGAACCCAGCTTTAGCTCCATCCTATATGTGCTGATATAGCTCATTATTTTACATATAATTTTCCCTTTAGATCATAGTAATATGGTAAAATATTTCTTCCTTTACAAATAGCTAAGCTTCCTTTTTAATTTTTGTAAATGATTTTAATTTAACTGTATTTTTATTATTTATTTATTTATTTTTGTCAGTCATGGGGCTTGAACTCTGGGCTTAGGTGCTGTCCTTGTGCTCTTCAGCTCAAGGCAAGTGCTCTACCGCTTGAGCCACAGCGCCACTTCCAGTTTTCTAGCGGTTTATTGGAGATAAGAGTCTCACAAACTTTCCTGCATGGCTGGCTTTGAACCATGATCCTCAGATCTCAGCCTCCTGAGTAGCTAGGATTACAGGCGTGAGCCACCAGCGCCCGGCTTTAACTGTATTTTAACAAGAGAATACCACCTTAAAAATCTCTCCCTTGCCAGGTGACGGTGGCTCATGCCTATAAACCTAGCTACTAAGAAGGCTGGGATCTGAGGATCACAGTTCAAAGCCAGCCTAGACAGGAACGTCTGTGAGAATCTTATCTTCAATTAACCACCAGAAAACCAGAAGTGGTGTTGTGGCTCAAGTGGTAGAGCACTCATCTTAAGCTAAAGAGCTGAGGCACAGCATACAGGCCCAGAGTTCAAGCCCCATGACCAACAACAACAACAAAAATCTCTCCCTTCACCATGTGCCAGTGGCTCATGCCTGTAATCCTAGCTATTCAGGAGGCTGAGATCTAAGAACCAAGGTTCAAAGCCAGCCAGGGAAACAAATCTACATTTAGAAAGGTAAATGTCATTTATTCTCATATCTAACTTTTAAGAAATTCATAGTTTAGTGATCACCAAAGATTATATCATTTGAGAAAAAAAAGTCTAAGTATTTATGAATCATGGTGGACCAGAGGGATACAAGAGAAGGAGTTATAAGGCTGACCTCTCTACCTAAGAAATTAGTGTTCATTGGGCTGGGAAGGTGGCTCAGTGGTAGAGTGCTTGCTTTGCATGCATGAGCACCACATAAGCAGAAAAAGCCAGAAGTGGCGCTGTGACTCAAGTGGTAGAGCATAGCCTTAAGCTGAAGAGCTGAGGGGCGGAGCCCAGGCCCAGAGTTCAGGCCTCACGACTAACAAAATAAATAAATAAATAAAAGGAAAGAAAGAAAGAAAAGAAATTAGTGTTCACAATTTCCACATAATGGTGTGAGCCTTTGGCACCAGAATTGATGGCATTGTGCTGTACCAAGAAGCCAATGGATCAAAACTTGTTTAGTAAATGTATGTCCAACTCTTTTTTTTTTTTTTCAGGTAAGGGGTAGGTTTATTCAGTAGATCTGCTGGGACCAGGCAAGGTTGGCACTCCACACGGCTGGTTCAGGCTGGCACCAGGCCATCTTGATCCTCCATGCGGTGGGGAAAGGCCTGGGAAAGAGAGAGCTGGGGAAAAAGCTAAGAGAGAGCTAGAAAAGAGAGAAAATAGCTAGAAAGGAGAAGAGCTAGAGAAGAGCTAGAAAAGAGCAGAGAGAGCTAGAAAAGAGCAGAGAGAGCTGTATGTCCAATTCTGAATTGTCCTAATTTCTAATTTCTGTGTACAGAGGGGAGGGAGGGAGGGAGGGAGGGAGGAAGGGAAGGAAGGAAGGAAGGAAGGAAGGAAGGAAGGAAGGAAGGAAGGAAGGAAGGAAGGAAGGAAGGAAGGAAGAAAGGAAGGAAGGAAGGAAGGCAGGCAGGCAGGCAGGCTAAGAGGTATGTTGTCTAGGGCTGGGAAATTTTCCTGTATTTATATAAATCTGTAAGAGTGTGTGTGTGTGTGTGTGTGTGTGTGTGTGTGTGTGTGTGTGTGTGTGTGTGTGTGTGTGTGTGTGTAAAAAGAAGAAAGGATTGTTACCAGAATTTATTCATTGGGGCTGGGAAGGTAGCTTAGTGGTAGAGTGTTTGCCTTGCATGCATGAGGCCCTGGGTTTGATTCCTCAGCACCACATAAGCAGAAAAAGCCAGAAGTTGCACTGTGGCTCAAGTGGTAGAGTAGTAGCCTTGAGCTGAAGAACTGAGGGACAGCACCCAGGCCCAGAGTTCAGGCCCACAACCACCACCACCAACAACAAAAGAATTTATTCATCAGTAACAATATTAGTACCATCCATAACTGATACATATTTGGAATTAAGAACTAAATTAAATTAATTAAATTTTTATAGACAAAATTGTGAAATCTTATTCCATCTATGTGACAGTGGCCAAATAATGCCCATAACTGATGATAAAGAGCTGTAAGTTTATGTGTGATACTTACAACTACAAATGTGAAAAGTAGAGGAAGCAGAGCATTGAAAGCAGTTTTTCTGGGCAGCAGGAATAGCTAAATCGATTGAAACCCTGCATGACCCTGCATGACTTTAAAGTGTTTTGCTTTTTTTTTTTTGGACAGTCATGGGTCTTGAACTCAGGACCTGGGCACTATTCTTGAGCTTTTTCACTCCCTTTGCACCACAGTTCTACTTCCCATTTTCTGGTGGTTAATTGGAGATAGGAGTCTTACAGACTTTCCTGCCCAGGCTGGCTTCAAACCATGATCCTCAGATCTCAGCCTCCTGAGTAGCCAGAATTACAGGTGTGAGCCATCCAGCTTTATTTTATTTAATATTAATCATGTACATAAAAAGAACAGTGATAGAGTGCTTACCTAGCATGTATGAAGCCCTGGGTTCGATTCCTCATAAACAGTACCACATAAACAGTACCACCTAAATAGAAAAAGCCAGAAGTGGTGCTGTGGCTCAAGTGGTAGAGTACTAGCCCTGAGCACAGAGAGGCTCAGGGTCAGAGCCCAGGCCCTGAGTTCAAGCCCCAGGACTGGCAAAAAAAAAAAAAAAAAAGAACAGTCCTAGTCAATTTTGTGATTGAGTAATCTTGACCTATTACAAACTTACAAGCAAAAATTACTTGAAACATTATTTGTTGAAAACAATCAAAAATGAAACTAGCCTCTGTAGTCCTAGCTACTCAAGAGGCTGAGATCTAAGTATTGAAATTCAAAGCCAGTCTGGCCAGGAAAATCCATGAAATTCATGTCCAATTAACCACAAAAAGCCAGAAATGAAGCTGTGGTTCAGGTGGTAGTACACTAGCCTTGAGCACAAAAGCTTAGGGACAGTGCTCAGACCCTTGAGTTCAAGCCCCAGAACTGGCAAAAACAAAAACAGAAACTGTTTGCCCATCACAGAGAGTGGCTAAATATTGGGTGGTATATCTATACTTTGAAATTCTCTATGGCTTTAAAATTCAATGAAGTAAAACCCTTTTGGGCAATGGCATTGATTAGAAAAATGATCATAAGACATTGTACAGTGGAGAAAAAGAGCTACATGATTCTACAGAGTATTGCATTTATGCAGGAAACATTCTGAGAAGATATCCAGAAATATATAACACTGAGGAGAGAAAAGGAAGAAAAGTCACTGGGTGTGTGCATGCATGTGCACATATGTGTGTCTATGAACAACCATTTTTTTTTACTAACATCATATATAACTTCACAGTTTTAAATTTTTGCCTATGGCTGGGAATGTGGCTTAGTGGTAGAATGCTTACCAAGCATGCAGGAAGCCCTGGGTTTGAGTCTTCAGTACCACATACACAGAAAAAGCTGGAAGTGGCACTATGGTTCAAGTGGTAGAGTGCTAGCCTTGAGCAAAAGAAACTCAGGGACAGTGCCCAGGCCCTGAGTTCAAGCCTCAGGACTGGCACAAAAAAAAAATTGCCTAGCAAGTGCAAGACCTTCAGTTCAGACCTCAATACTAACAAGAGATATGTAGATGATAGAGAGGGATGAAAGATAGATAATAGAGATAGATAGACAGACAGACAGACAGACAGATAGATAGGTAAATAATAGAGAAACTGGCTTGTGTAAGGTCTTCAGTTCAATCCCTAATATCTCAAAAATGGCAAAAAAAAAAAAAAACCACCTTAAAATATAATTGCTTAAAGGTCTTTCTAAAGCCACCCACTGCAGAAACTGATGGAGATAACCTGTGTTGGAGATAATGTCTTTGGAATTCAAATGGACCAGCCAGGCTGGAAATGGTGGACAGGGATCTGAGCAAACCTTCTGTTCTTCACACACATCTTCCCTAGAGGTTGAGGTTTGTCTCCAAATGCAGAGAAAGGAAAGAGGACCTGGATGGCCTCTAACTTCCCCTCATAACTGTCACTGAGCATTTCTGGTCCTAGTCTCTCTCCTCTCCTCCCTAACCCTCCACAATCCCACTGGTGGTGTTTGCCAAGCTGCAAGGCTATAGGGTTACTCCTTGTCTCCTTCCTCCTCCAGCCCTTCTGTCTGGCCTTCTTTGTCCCCTTCATGTCCCAGTCCCAAATAACCAAGCCACACAGTTTCAAGGATTTGTGTCTTCTTTTCCCTACTCCATTGAGAAGGGTGAGCATGAGACTAATTGCAACACATTGTGGTCTAAGGTGGGATCTCAGCCTTCCCAGCACCCACTTCCTATTTCTCCTCAACTCCTCTTCCCCATGCCTGGGATTCCATTTATCTTCTGTTCTTCACAATCCTCCTCCATGGAGAAGCTAGATTGATGCAGAAGTGGGCCGTGGCAGGTACCAATGGGAGACACTGAAGCCGGGCTCCTACACGGTGATATTATGTTTCATCTCACAGGCCCAGTGGTTCAGCTCTGCACAGAATTTGTCGTTCCAGAAGCCATTTGCCAAGACTACCGCACAGTCATCTCCTGCGCCCACCTCGTGGCCCTGCCAGTTATCTGGCTGAGCCATACCCCAGTGCCTAAGAAGACAGGACAAAGCTTAGGCTCTCCCCTCACCGTCTCCCACCAATCCAATCTGCTAATCCCCCAAAAAGGCACGGATCGCTCAGTGGGACCATCAAGGTAGAAAGTCGGGGAGGGAACGTTGGGGAAGTTGGCCCCTAAGGGATTTGTGTGTTGGGGTGAAAGGTCAACTGGCAAGCTAACCAAGGGATACAGAGAAGCCACTTACTGGTAGTTGTGCTCATAGTTGGTTCCATCCACCCATCTCCACGGGCCCTGTATGTCAGAGAGACCTATCCAGGTGTGAAAGGGGCTCATGTGTTCCACGATGAATCTCTGGAAAAACATGTGGGAAGAAGTTGCTAGATTCCAGAAATGTCTTGTACAATCATGATGTATCTGTGCAGGTGTGCCTCCTTCTGCTTCCTCAGCCTGATCTTCCCCAAGCTAAGACATCCCTCCCTCCCCAGGAAGGGTTTCCTTGTTCTTCCTCTATAACAATAGCTGTTGAGTGCTTTTTGCCAGTCCTGGGGCTTGAACTCAGGGCCTGGGCTCTGTCCCTGAGCGTCTCTGTACTTAAGACGAGCGTTCTACCACTTGAGCTATAGCACCACCTCCAGCTTTTTCTGTTTAGGTGGTGCTGAGGAATCGAACCTAGGGTTTCATACATGCTAGGCAAGCACTCTACCACTAAGCCACATTCCCAGCCCTGTTGAGTGTTTTGTTTTATTTATTTTAATGTAAACAAAGTAAGTTTATTTAAAAGCAAAAGTTGAAAGAAAGACACATTTGTAAAAGTGGACTCTTTGAAGAGAAGGGAAATCTCAAGTTGGATATCCCCATGGCTATTTAATGGACATTTTCTAGGACAAACTTTGCAGTTAGTGCTTTACAAAAATGACCTCATTTAGGAGGTAGGCAGCAGCTCATGCCTGTAATCCTAGCTACTCAGGAGGCTGAGAGCTAAGGGTCATGGTTTGAAGTCAGCCCAGGCAGGAAAGTCCATGAGACTCTTATCTCTAATTAACCCCCAGAACAGCAGAAGTAGAGCTGTTGCTCCAGCATTAGAGTATTAGCCTTGAGAAAAAAAAATCTCAGGGGTAACCCCCAGGCTCTGACTGAGTTCAAGCCCCAAAACCAGAACAAAAAATTACCTCATTTAATCCTCAAAAGTCCTCTAAGTTGATTGTCATAGTGATTGTCACTTTGCAAGGTAATAGAATGCAGAGAGCCAATCCAGCATCTAATTCCTACCTACCACACTGTTTCTAGGCCTAGCTGACATTTCACCCATTTTGACTGCTACTCTGACTCTGGTCCTCTTCTTGTCTTCTATCTACAGCTTCCAACACTTGGATTCTCAGCTCCTGCAGCTCCCACATATCCCAGAACCCATAAATAATCTTGAGTTCACTCCCCTTCCACATCCATCTGCCCCTGATTGACCTTTCTTTGTGTGGCTGTCATTTCCTGAGGTTTGCCAGTCCTCAAGCTTCTGAGCTTGGACTCACAGGGTAGAATCCAATATGACCTGGCAACAGGGTCTAGCAGGTCTATGATGAATGGATGAGTTTGAGGGTGCTAGCCCACTGGCAAGGGCATGGGTGAAAATGTCTCTGAGCTTAATAAACAGGTCCCCACTCTACCACTTGAGCTACATCCAGCAGAATCTAGAGCCCCTTTGACAGAGATGGCTATCCCAAAAGACTTAAATCACCATGGGTGAAAATGCTGCAAAGGAATTATGTGATCAGCCTAGTTTTTTGGACATCTACCCTAACAATCCTCTCAACAGTGTGTGAAAAAAGGTTAAATTGGAAGACAAATCACCTAATTCCATTTTCATTCCTTAGAGACACAACCAAGGTTGTAATTGATCACCTCGTTCAAGGGCTGGATCAGTTCTAGTACATTGCACAGTATCCTGTTGATGAAGAGGCAACCCCAGGGTTTGGTGAAGTTGCTCCTCATGTTCAGAGGGTTGACAGAACTGGGAAGAAGAGACCTAGACACAAAGTAGTCTATTCACTGCCTTCTCAGTGGCCTCTTCTTATCAACAAAGAAATAGAATCACTGAAGTAAATATATAGATTATCAATACTCAGGTCTCTGGATCAAAGACTGAGTAAAGAAATCTCAGATGAGCAGAGAAAAATCATTCAGGATCATTCTTTCTCACTTCCTGGATGAGTAACAGGAAAGGAAGAATTACACCCATTTTCATAAGAGTAACAAAAAGAAAATCATCATAAAAATCATTCCACACTCTACCACTTGAGCTACATCCAGCAGATTTTCTCATCTTTCAAATGAAGAGTTATATAAACTTCTGGTTTCTGAAGCCAAAAAATTTCAGTTACCATTTAAAGTTATAAAAGTAATCACTAGTAAAACTAAGAGTGAATTGCCACTATTCCAAAATACAATAGAGGAGAAAACAAAGTAAATGTGAGAAAGCAAAAGAAGCATAAAACCCTTAAAAATAAACAGGACTGCTGGGTGCCAGTGGTTCATGCTTGTAATCCTATCTACTCAGGAGGCTGAGATCTGAGGATCACATTTCCAAGCTATTCTATGCAGAAAAGTCTGAGACTCTTATTTCCAATTAACCACCAGAAAACCAAAAGTGATGCTGTGGCTCAAAGTGGTCAAGCACTAGACTTGACTAAAAAAGCTCAGGAACGGCACCAGGCCCCGAGTTCAAGCTCCATGACCTACAAAAAATTAAATAAAATAAAAATAAACAGGACTAATACTAAACATGTCTACTAAAGATAAATGTTAAATGAATACATTCACCTTTTAACAGAAAAGTCATTCCAGTTACTCAGAAGCCTGAAGTGGGAAGATCACTTGACACCAGGAGTTTGAGACTAGCTTGAAATCTATAGGAAGGGGTGAGGGAGGGAGGGGAGGAACTAGTTTGCTTAGCAAACATGAGGACTTGAACCAATTTTCTTAAAATTGTCATACTGTCAAAAGAAATCTAAAAGCTGGGCAGAAAGACATTCACACCTGTAAGCCAAGCTACTCAGGAGACTGAGATCTGAGAATTGTGGTTCAGAGTCAGCCAATGCAGACAAATCTGTGAGATACCTATTTCCAATGGTCAAAAAAGGAGCTGGGTGCCGGTGGCTCACGCCTGTAATCCTAGCTACTCAGGAGGCTGAGATCTGAGGATCATGATTCAAAGCCAGCCCGGGTAAGGAAAGTCCATGAGACTTTTATCTCCAATAAACCACTAGAAAACCGGAAGTGGCACTGTGGCTCAAGCAGTAGAGCGCTCAACTTGAGCTGAAGAGCTGAGGGATAGCCCCATGACCGACAAAAAAAAAAGGCTGGGAAGGTGGCTCAGTGGTAGAGTGCTTGCCTTGCATTCATGTGGCCCTGGGTTCAAGTCCTCAGCACCACATAAGCAGAAAAAGCCAGAAGTGGATCTATGGTTCAAGTGGTAGAGTGCTAGCCTTGAGCTGAAGAGCTGAGGGACAGCACCTAGGCCAAGGAGTCAGGCCCCATCACCAACCAAAAAAAACAAAAAAACAAAAACCAATGGTCAAATAAAAGCCACAGTGAAGATGTGGCTCAAGTGGTAGAGCACCAGCCTTGAGAGTAAAAAGCTAAGCCAGAGTTTGAGGCCCTGAGTTCAAACCTTCACACTGGTATAAAAACAAAACTAATCAGGGCACTGGTAGCTCACGCCTGTAATCCTAGTTACTCAGGAGGCTGAGATCTGAGGATCTCAGTTCAAAGCCAGCCCACGCAGGAAAGTCCACGAGACTCTGATCTCCAATAAACTACTCAGAAAACTGGAAGTAGTGCTGTACCTCAAATGGTAGAGCGCTCGCCTTGAGCTGAAGAGCGCAGGGACAGCACCCAAGCTGAGTTCAAGCCCCATGACTGACAAAAAAAACAAAAAAAAAACACACTACTCTTATTCAGAATGACAATCCTTAAGAAAACAAACAATAACAAATGCTGGTGAGCATATGAGAAAAAAGGAAGCCTCCATGCACTGCTGGTGAGGAGGTAAACTAGTGCAACCACCATGGAAATCAGTATGTCAGTTTGTCAGTTCTTCAAAAAACTAAAAATGCACCTACCTATGATCCTGTCAGATATATATCCTGTTAGATATATGCCACTATTGGGCATATATCTAAAGGAGAAACATACCTGAAATCCATGTTTATAATAGTGCTGCTCACAATAACCAAATGGCAGAATCAGCCAAGGTGCCCAATCACAGATGAGTGGATAAAGAAGATATAGTACATATGTAGTACATATATACAGATATATATATATATATATATATACTATATATTTATGGAGTAGTATACCACAGAATATCATATAGCCCTAGTGAAAAATGAAATTAAGTCACTTCTAGAAAAATGAGTGGAATTGGAGAACAACATGTCAAGCAAGATAAACCAAACCCGCAAAATGCAAATTTCATTTTTATGTGGACGCTAGACCTAAAAGGCATACTCATAGTTCATGGACATATACATATACATATATCTGAATGTATATATGTATGTATGCATATATGTGTATATATTATATATATATATATATATATATCCAGAATATGGTTCTAACTATGGGACTATTTAGAAGAATGAGGGGAAGGAGAAAGAAAAAAAGAAAGATGGAGGGTGAAGATAGCATTAGGAATCTCAAAGCTGTTGACTAGTAGGAGATTGGAGGCAGGGGGAAAGAAGGCAATAGAGAAAGTAATTCTGAGCAAAATATAATATTTACATGTCTGTAATAAAAACAAAAATAGGGCTGGGAAGGTGGCTCAGTGGTAGAGTGCTTGCCTTGCATGTATGAGGCCCTGGGTTCGATTCCTAGCACCACATACGCAGAAAAGGCTGGAAGTGGCGCTGTGGCTCAAGTGGTAGAGTACTAGCCTTGAGCTGAAGAGTTGAAGGACAGCGCCCAGCCCCAGAGTTTAGGCCCCATGACCGACAAAAAAATAAATAAAAAATAAATAAAAAACCATGCCATTTGTATCACTATGGATTAATTCAAGACCAAAAATTAAAAATCATTAGATGATATATTGGCATTCATGGCATAGTGATGAGTGCACACCCACCACAAAGCTGTAGACAGCATGAACTTCTGAGTCAAATCACAAGAGCATGGAGACCTTATGAATGGCATCACATTGACTTTTGACTTTTTTTGTTGTTGTTTTTATGGTAGTGGAGGTGCTGGGATTTTAAGATGGGGTCTCACTTTGTGCCACAGTCAGTCTAGACTGTGATCCTCCTATTTGTGCTTTCCCTGTATCTTGGGATGACAGGCATGTACCACCACACCCAGCTACTGGCTAAGGTATTTCAAACTCTTTTCCTGGGCAGACCTCAAACTGTGATATGCCCAATCTCTGAGCTTTAGAAGGGTAAAGGGGCACAGAAATGGAGGGACTAAGAGTGAGCAGTGGTACTCACCGGACACTCTATTGAAAATGAACAATACAATTTGTTGGTGAGGAGGATGGGAGGGAAAAATTGGGAGAGAGTGAAGGAAGGGGTAACATTGCCCAAAAAGAAATATACTCTTTACCTGACTTACGTAACTGTACCTTTTACAATAACAATAAGAAATTTTTTGAAATGTCTTGTCTGATTGACCAAGAAACATTATACTCATAACCTGACTTATAGAATTGTAACTCCTTTGTACAACTACTTAATAATAACAATTTAAAATGCATAAAAGATGCCGGGCGCCAGTGGCTCACGCCTGTAATCCTAGCTACTCAGGAGGCTGAGATCTGAGAATCTCGGTTCAAAGCCAGCCCGGGCAGAAAAGACCGTGAGACTCCTATCTCCAATAAACCACTAGAAAACCGGAAGTGGCGCTGTAGCTCAAGTGGTAGAGCGCTCGCCTTGAGCTGAAGAGCTGAGGGACAGCGCCCAGGCCCAGAGTTCAAGCCCCATGACCGACAAAAAAAATAAAAAAATAAAAAAATAAAATGCACAAAAGAGCTGGGAATGTGACTTAGTGATAAAGTGCTTGCCTAGCATGCATATAATCCTGGATTTGATTCCTCAGTACCACATAAACAGAAAAAGCTGGAAGTGGTGCTGTGGCTCCACTGGTAGAGTGCTAGCCTTGAACAAAAGAAGCTCAGGGACAGTACCCAGGCACTGAGTTCAAGACCCAGGACTGGCAAAAAATAAAAATAAAAAATAAAATGCACAAAAATCAGCCAGGAGCTGGTGGCCCATGCCTAGAATCCTAGCTACTGAGGAGTCTGAGATCTGAGGATCTCATTTTGAAGTCGGCTTGGGCAGGAAAGTCCATGAGACCACCAGAAAACAGGAAGTGGTGCTGTGCCTCAAAGTGGTAGAGTGCTAGTCATGAGCAAAAGAGCTCAGGGACAGTGCCCAGGCCCTGAGTTCAAGCCCCACAACCAACAACAACAACAAAAAATGGCACAAAAATGTCTTATGTGTTCTAATGGGTTGGTTCTTCCTCTGTGAACCATGTTCAAGGTCACTGTCTGGTGGCAGCAATGGAAATGAGAGGCAAAGGGCACCTTGCAGGGCTCCAGACACGCAGGGCAGGAGAGCAGTCAATGGAATCCCACTACTCTGTTCTCTTGACACAGACAAAAACCACATCTGAAGGCCAACATTGGGATTCACAGACTCGCCATGTCCTGCCTCAAGGTTTATCTCCCAACTGGCTCCTTGTCACTTTCTGTCAACTCCTGGCTACCATCTCCCACTTCTTAGACTCAGTGGCTGCTCCACTGTGTACCTGCCCAAACTCTGCCACACTTCCTCTTCTGGATTCTGTTTTAGGTTAAGAAGCAGGGAAAACAAGCCTACTTGGGCCTACTCATTCAAAGCATTCCGGTTTTCCTCTGGCCTCCAGACAGCAGGGCCTCACCTGTTCATCCCAAGAGTTGATAACCACCAGGTGGGCATTCTCCAGCTGGCAGTATGCGTAGGCCTCGTGCCAATTCATCCCAGCACGTGAGAACCAGTAGCAGCTGCCTCCATATTTCACCCAATTAACAGGACAACATTTCGTGCCTGAGGGGACACAGGCCAGAGGGTGATAAGGCCCTGTTGTGGCCGGGACAGAGACACGGGGACCAGCGCCACTGAGTCCCTACCGTTGCTTTGGAGAAACACCATGTTACACTTCAGGGAGCTCATATCCGTGGGGAAGTGCTTCAGGTGCAGGAACAAGGTAGCGTGGTCTAGGGGACAGAGGGACAGTGGGAGGAATGTGTGGGTCCCCTCCCGCCAGGACCAGGTGCAGGACCCCATCTGGAGGCTTCAGAACCTCACACCATACACACACCACAAAACACATACCATACAGACACAACACACACCCACACTGCACATCACCTAATACAGTATACCCACACCACAGCCCACGCCACATATACCCCAACACACATACCACACACATACCATACCACACCCCCCAACCACATACCACACTACATACACCAAACACATACCACAATACACATATCACAACACACATACCAAACACATACCACACCACACACACCAAATGCACACCAAAACATATATAACACACACCACACACACTGTATCTATCCCACCCCACAGCACATAGAACACAATACAGCATACATAACACACCACACACACCAAATACGCACCACAACACACCTAATGCACACATAACACACCCCACACACCAAACACACAGCATAACACATGTACCCCATCACACACACACACACACACACACACACACACACACACACTGTTGGCCCAGTAGCCTCCTCTCCTGCAGCTTAGCATGTTCTTTTCCTAGACAGAACTAGGCCCATTTAGTACAGATAGCAAATAACAGACCTCCTCCCCTCTTTACCTTGAGATGACACTCCATTGGGGTAGTTACAACCCCCTTAAAGTAACCTTCAGTCTGGGCAGCTGCAGCCCCTTATCTGCCACTTGGGCAGCAGCCATAAATCCTATCCCGCCATGATGAAGCCCCTGGTCCACAGACCTACACCGTGTCTCCACCTCCAAGCCCCTCCTAGCCCCTGAAGCTTACATTGGTCACCTCAGACAATAGCACTTCTCTCTTGTGAGAAGGAGTCTTGCTGGTCCTCTTGCTGCCACTAAACCTTTCCTTTGTTCTTTGTGCCTAAATGTCTGCGTGGTTTTCTGGCAAAGTCTAACACACATTGCACGCATGCCACACGCACACCACATCACATACCATAAACACACTAAACTGCTTCAGATGGAGCACATGAGTCACATATAACACTCCACACAACACACATACCACACTCATACAACTCCACCAACACCAGAGCACATACTGCACACAGATACCACCCCATACTCACACCACACACACAACACCCACACACGCACACCTCGCATATCACAGACACAATACACACATCCACCTCACACACAGACCACACGCATGCTTCAGGAGGAAAATGTGACCTGCTTTTACGTCCTGATGTTGTTTCTCCAGCTGGGCCTCCAGAGATGTCAATTTGTCGCTCATGCTGCCTTCTGAAAAAAAAAGGAAGACAAATTCCTCCTTCAGCCTCCTGCACCCACCTCCAGCCTCACACACTAGGGGGCGCCATTTGGAGCCCACAGCCTCCCGTGGAACATGGCCTAGTCAACCTCTGAACCCTCAGCCCCATCAGGCTGCTCTGCACCTGCAGGGGCTTAGGCCACTGTGCTGTTGAAATTCCTTCCTTGGGTCCCTGTGTTCACACAGCCCAGTCCCATGCAGTCCACACAACTTGCTGCAACTTGCTCCCACTCTCTGACCTCTGACCCCCTCACAGCTCCCTCCCCCACCCCAGTTCCTAGAATTGTCCTCAGTCCCCCAAACACACAGTGCTCTTCCTCACCTCCTGTGGTTCACAGCCTCTTCTCTCTGGCTGGCACTCACCCTGCCTGCCTCAGTTGGTCCCCAGGGCCCCTCAAGTTATGGCCAGTACCTGTAGAAGTCTTGCTAGCTCCTCAGGGCTAGATCATCTGCCCTGGGCTTCATCCCCACAGCCCCTGAGCAGATTCAGCACTGAGCCCAGCAGATAAATCTGTGTGGATAAACAACGGCCAGCCACTCACTATGGGAGCCCAGGGCCAGGACCTCCACCAGGGTGCTGGAGGAGAAGTTGTTGAAAGTTTCCTTCAGGGTACGCAGCTCTTCCTGCAGCCGTGTGCCTTGTCAGGAGACAGTGAGACAGGAAGGGGTGTGGGACTGTGCCCCCATTACCATCCATGTGCCTATCCCCCTCACTGCCCATCACTGCCCCTTCATCCATCCCATTCTTTTTTGGGGGGAGGGGTAGGAGGAGAGGTTGTGCTAGTCCTGGGACTTGAACTCCGGGTCTAGGTGCTGTCCCTGAGCTTTTATTTATTTATTTTTTAGGTACAAAACCAGAACCCAAACTCAGTACCTGACACCTATGCTCATTGGCTGGCATTCTACCAACTAAGCCATGCCTCCAATCCCAGTCCCTGAGCTTTTCTGCTCAAGGCTAGCACTCTACCACTTGAACCACGCCTCTACTTCTGGTTTGTTAGATGCTTAATTGGAGATAAGCGTCTCATGGATTTTCCTGCCTGGGCTGGCTTTGAACTACGATCCTCAGATCTCAGCCTCTTTTTTTTTTTAACTTATTTATTTATTTATTTTTTGGTCAATCATGGGGCCTGAACTCCAGGCCTGGGCATTGTTCCTCAGCTCTTCAGCTGTAGACTAGTGCTCTACCACTTGAGCCTCAGCCCCACTTCTGGCTTTTTCTGCTTATGTGGTGCTGAGGAATCGAACCCAGGGCCTCATGCATGCAAGGCAAGCACTCTACCACTGAGCCACCTTCCCAGCCCCGATCTCAGCCTCCTGAATAGCTAGGATTATAGGCATGAGCCACTATCACCTGGCTATTGATCCCATTCTTGACTTCTTATTGCGCTCAGCACCTGTAGCATGCTGCCTCCACCTCTTCCCCTCTCATTGCTCTCCTCACTGCCTCATCATTATCCATAACCCATCCCCATCTTTGTCTCATCCCTGTAACCTCACTTTGAGACCCGATCACACAGACGGCCACCAGCAGCAGGACATTGAGGCTCAGGGCGAGCAGACTGAGATGGAAGCTGGAGCAGAGGCGTTTTGGAAAGGTCTGGGAAGGAGGCTGCCCTGTAAGAGAAAAAGAGTGTCAGAAGCCACACATTCAAGGGACAGGAACAGGGCAAGGAAAGAAACAAGTATGGCATTCTGGAGGAGCCAATGGATTTGACCTCATTAATGGGGTGTTAAACACAGAACATTTATACATCGGCACCTACAGGAACATGGGCAAGCATGCACACCACACACACACATACACACACACACAGGTACATATAACATACACACACATAGTACACAATAGTCACAACAGCTCTGTGAAAAACCAAGCTCTTACACCTGAGATGAGGGACACACCTGCCCTTTGCTAGACATGCTTCATAAGAGGGCTAGTGGATGCTAGTGGCTCATGCCTGTAATCCTAGATACCCAGGAAGTTAAGATCTGAGAATCATAGCTCAAGAACCCAGCCTGACAAGTTCAAGAGACCCTTATCTCCAAATAATCGGCCAAAAGCCAAAAGTGGGGATGTGGCTCAAGTGGTAGAGCACTGTCCTTGAGTGAAAAAAACTAAGCAAGAGCTTGAGGCCCTAGGTTCAAGTCCCAGTATCGGTAGGAGGAGGGGAGCAACACTTTTCAAGACACGACATCAGCAAAGGAAAGGCATTGATTCCTGAAAAAGAGGAAACAAATAAGATGAACCAAAATACTCCATCTTTTTTTTTTTCTTTTGGTCGGCTGTGGGGCTTGAACTCTGGGCCTGGGTGCTGTCTCTCAGCTCTTCAGCTCAAGGCAAGCACTCTACCATTTGAGCCACAGCACCACTGCTGGTTTTCTGGTGGTTAATTTGAGATAGGAGTCTCAGACTTTTCGGCCCAGGCTGGTTTTGAATTGTGATCCTCATATCTCAGCCTCCTGAGTAGCTAGGATTACGAGTATGAGCCACCAGCACCTGGCAAAATGCCCCATTTTATACTTAGAGAGAGTTTTTGGGCCACAGGACATGGAAGGGAAATCAAGACAGAGGCCAGTAGCTTCCCTAGTCCAGGAGATAGAATTTAGAGTTCGAGCTCAAGATGGTCAGGACTCACTGGATCAGACAGATTGCAAGTTACTGTATCCTAGAAGAAAGCTCAAGAGTATATAGAGGAATACAAAAGTATCCAGCACCTGGTGTGGTAAAATTCACAAAATCTGGCATCCAGTCAAAGATATACAAGATGCATAAGATGTACAGGAAAACACAGCTCATACTGAGGAGGTTAATAAATCAATCAAACAGGCTGAGGATATAGAGTGCTTGCCTCGCCCATGACCTAGATCCCATCTTCAGCACCAAAAGTAAATGAAAAAATCTATTTAAATGGATGCAGAGGAGCTGGGAAGGTGGCTCAGTGGTAGAGCATTTACCTTGCATGCCTGAGGCCCTGGGTTCAATTCCTCAGCACCACATAAACAAAAAGAAAAAAAGTCAGAAGTGGCGCTGTGGCTCAAGTGGTAGAGCACTAGCCTTGAGCTGAAGAGCTGAGGGACAGCGCCCAGGCCCAGAGTTCAGGCCCCACGACCGGACCCAAAAAAAATAAAATAAAATAAATAAAATGGATGCAGAATGGACACAGATGTTAGAATTAAGCCCGACACTAGTGGCTCACACCTATAATCTTAGCTACTCAAGAGACTGAGATCTGAGGATGACTATTTGAAGCCAGCCTGGATAGGAAAGCCCATGAGACTCTTATCTCAAATTAACCACTAGAAAAATGGAAGTGATGCTATGGCTCAGAGTGGTAGAGCATTAGCCTGGAGCAAAACCAGCTCAGGGATGGCACCGAGGTCCTCAGTTCAAGCCGTACAACTGACAAAAAAATAAGAAAAAAAGAATTGTAAACAATGTCCTTGAAACAGATATTGTAGTTATAGCCCATATATTCATACATATAAATGCATGTGTGGAAAAAAAGAAAAACAACTTTAAGCAGACAGCTGTGAAAGGTATTTAAAAGTCCAAAGTTGAGCTTTAGAGATGAAAACAACCACGTCTAGCATTAAATGCCTGTTCAAGCATGCACACACACACACACACACACACACACACACACACACACTAGTTAATTAATTAGGGCTGGGAATATGGCGTAGTGGTAGAGTACTTGCCTAGCATGCATGAGCCCTGGGTTCAATTCCTCAGTACCACAAAAACAGAAAAAAGTTTGCAAGTGGCACTGTGGCTCAAGTGGTAGAGTACTAGCCTTGAGCACAGAGAGGTTCATACAGAGCCCAGGCCCTGAGTTTAAGTGTCATGATTGGCAAAAAAAAAATAATAATAATAATTAATTATATTAAATTAAATCCAGCCAGGCACTGGTGGCTTGTACATATAATCCTAGCTTCTCAAGAGGCTGAAATCCGAGGATTGCAGGGTAAGAAAGGCCATGAGACTTTTTTCTCCACTTAACCACCAACAAGCTGGACATGGAAGTGTAGCTCAAGTGGTAAAGCGCTAGCCTGAAGCAAAAAAATGCTTAGGGACCGTGACTAGGCCCTGAGACTAGCACAAAAAAGAAAAGTCTTGAAAACTGTACACATAAAGTGACAGGAAAAGGCAGAAAGCCATCAGCGGTCAAAACGCGTTCCCATGACCACGCTCCTTCCTAGACAGCCGCGGCTGCTTGAAGGAAGTATGTGACAGGTGTGCAGTATCTCCATTTCCCCCTCTGTGCTCTCCTTCAGGCCACTTAAGCAATCCCCCTCTCCCATCAATTTAAAGAATCGTGGACTCTCTCTAAGCTTTTTGTCCAAATGCTGAATCCTTTCACCCTCAGAAGATTTAGCAACACCCAAAGCCATTGAGTGTTCCACTAGTTCTTGGTCCCACAAACAGCTTCAGAGCAAAGTGAGGTAGGTGGGCCTTAGTCCCTGTAGAGACTGTTGGGCGGGGGGAGGCCTGCCACCCCACTTCCAGGAAGGAGATGTGATAGGTGGAATAGGTTTCTCTCTCTCTCTTTTTTTTTTTTTTTGGGGTCCAGTTGTGGGGCCTGAACGCTGGGTCTGGGCGCTGTCCCTCAGCTCTTCAGCGCAAGGCTAGTGCTCTACCACTTGAGCCACAGCGCCACTTCCGGCTTTTTTCTTTTTGCTTATGTGGTGCTGAGGAATCGAACCCAGGGCCTCAGGCATGCAAGGCAAGCGCTCTACCACTGAGCCACCTTCCCAGCCCGGAGTAGGTTTCTCTTGGCCCTTCCTTTCCTGCCCGGCACAATCCTTCCCTCAGTCCCCCAGCCTCAGGGTAACACATCCCCTCTCTCCTCTCCCCTGAGCATGTGCCCTGGTCCCCTCTGCTTCCACAGAGCCTGGCTCCAATCTCAGCTCCCACCCTGACGTTCCTCCACCTGTTTCCTACCTTTCTACCTAGAACCACACCAATGTCTCTAAAATCTTTCCACCGATCACTTGGAGAATTATGTTCAACATTTTCCCAGGACAGGCCCAGGAGGATCTAGGGGGAGCAGGGCCCTTTCAGCTCATTTCCCCACTCTTCCCAGCTCATCTCCCACCCTCACGCTTATGTATACTCATAGTTCTGGCTGGCTGTGGACATGCCTGCATATGTACACACACACACACACACACACAGCACACATGTGCCTCAGGGTAGGAGAAAGAGGGAGAAAGTCTCCTCCGGTTCCAATATGCCCTCACCTCTGGGCATACATTCTTTCTGGGGCCCTCTATAATTAGAGGAGGAACGCAGTCCCTGCCCCCTGAGCACATAGACAGAGAGCACTTGGCAATTGAGACAAGGGTTCAGGGGGTGAAGACCCTGAAACTGGTACTTGCCTTTCCAAAATGGACTTTCTCTCCTGGGGTTCTGCCCATGAGTGCCTAGCTCCTCACCACCACTGAACTGATGGTTAGTTTCCTCCGAGTCAAGCTGCTGGATGTCTTGAAAGTCCTTGTCCATGATGGGCCCCAGGCTGGTGTTGGAGCTGGGAGTGAGGCTTGTTCTTCAGGCTGAAGCTGAAGCTGTGTTTATGGATAGACTTTGAACTGACAAGCAAATTCATGTGGACAGATTAAAGTAAGGAATGACACCAGGTGCTGATGGCTCATGCCTGTAATCCTAGCTACTCAGGGAGGCTGAGATCTGAGGACTGAGGTTTGAAGCCAGTCCAGACCCAGCAGCAACAATGACGATGATGATAATAATAATAATAATAATAAAATAAGGCCTAAGAGTAGAGCAAGGTGACAGCTGAGGTTGGATATGAAGTTGAAGATAAGTTTGGAGGAAAGGTTTGAACTATCTTAGTTTCCTGTCCCATCTCATGTCTCCTTGACAAGGCCAGGAGCTTTCCCAGAGCAGCCCACACCTTCCCATCCAACCCCTCTTGTCCCTGAACCACAGACATCTACAATACCACCTGCCCTCACCCCCTGACCTTCATTACCTGTTAAAAGTATAAAGAGCTGACTTGCTCCCACCAACAGTCCAGACCCTAGAAAGAAGAGATGTGAATGCCGGGAAGATAGGGGAAGGAGGTGTGAGGGGAGAGGGGAAGAGGAGGCTGGTCCAGGCAATCACCCTGAACCCCTGTATCTGAGTGTCCAAGTGAATCTAACACAGCATCTCCTGGCTGAGAGGACTTTGGACAGTTAAATAGAAATATAAACAGAGCTGGAACTCACGCCATGAGTAGTGGGGGTAAGCGACACAACAATTGCTATTTATCCTCAGAGAAGGGGGTCTTCTGGGTCCACCACCTCCATCCCCAATCTCCAGTCAATCTACCCCTCATTTCATGACTGAGGCAAGGGAGCTAGGCCTGGAAGTGTTGAGATACCACGAGCTGTTTTCCCTCTGTCCCTCCCCCTTCCATTTCCTGTCCCTGAATTTTCCAGCAGTGCTGGTTTCTCCGAAGTTCCCTGACCAGGATAAGAGAGACCGACCGGTTCCCAGCTCTTTCCCAATCTGGGCTTGTGAACCTTGCATGCCAGCCCTGGGGACTCAGCTCCAGGTACCCCAACCCCTGCCCAACTCAATCACCTTTCTGGGGAGCAAAAGTTCCTTCAGTTGCAGGGAGGAAGAGAAATAGGATAAAGACGTAGGCTTGAATTAATGCTACTGTAAATTCTAGGATTGTTAAGAGTGGGAGAATTACGAATGCTGCTAGTGATCCTAGAGGGCTAAATGAGTGTGTCATAGAAAGCAGCTCTCTTAGAGTAGGAGAAAAGTCACCTTCATAAGCACTTTCTGTGGCCCAGGCACCCTGCCAGGCCCAGGAACACAAACATCACAAACATTAGTCCACTCCTGTAATTTCGTTATACATGTTTTCTCACTTAACCCTCACAAACACAACACAAGAGGGACGCCTTCCTTATTCCCAGGGGGATAACAGGGGAGGAAATGGAGCCTTGGGGAGATGACATGACTTGCTCCAGGCAGGAGGTAGAAGAGTTTGAGGGTAGAATGTTTCCCCAAGGACTCATGTATTAGACACTTTGTCTCTAGACTTTGGCACTACTGGGAGATGGTAGGAATTTTAAATGGTGTGGCCCCATGGGAGGTATTTAGGTCCTTGGTCACTCATCCTCTCAAAGGATACCATGACCCCAGCCTTCTTCCTCTCCTGATTCTCAGTGTGGCAAATGGCTTTGCTCCCACACATACTCCCTGGTATCATGTGCCACTTCAGCAGTTCCAAAGCAGCAGGGCCAAGGGATCATGAACCGACATCTCTAAAAAAAGCTTATTTTCACTTTAAGTTGATTTATCTCAGATATTTGTGGGCTAGACCCAGTTGTAGCCAGCTGTTTGCTGTTCAAAAGCCAGTATTTGTACTCACTAGACACTCTGTTGGAAATGAGCTATATAACTTGAGGGAGGGGGCAGGATGGAAAACTTGGGAGAAAATGAGGGAGGAGGTGATACTATTCAAAAGGAAGTGTGCCTGTAACCCCTCTGTACATCACCTTTACAATAAAGTAAAACCAAAACAATAAGCAAAAAAAAAAAAAAATAGCCAATATTTCAGGTTAGGCACCAGTGGCTCAGGCCTGTAATCTTAGCTACTCAAGAGTATGAGATCAGAGGATTGTGGCTAAAAGTTAGCCTGGGCAGGAATTTTTGTGACACTCTTACTCCAATTAACATAGCTAATAGAGTTGTGTCTCAAGTGGTAGAGCACTCACCTTGAGGGAAAAAAAAAAGCTCAGGGACAGCACTCATGGCCTGAGTTCAAATCCCAGGACCTGCATGCGCACGCACACACACATAAAAATTAAAAAATTTAAGCTAATAGTTGGAAGGTAAGACTTGGTGGGAAGGAAATCAGTTTTACTCAAGAGCCAGCACTCTAAATCTCAGGAGCATGCAAACTTCACTGGAAACAGACAGCCCATACCAGGAAGCCATTCTACTCTCTCTTCCTCATCCACCAACTGCTACTGGCAGCCAGAGCTGCCCTGCCTCCACCCCTAGCTACTGCTAAACCATGAGACTCACCCCTGCGCTTGAGTTGCTACTACTCAAGGGGACCTGCTCCACCTCCACCCACACCGGGCCACTGGCATGTGCCTAAGCTACCTCCCCTCACCCCAGCCACCGCCCCAGGCCCAAGCCTTAGACAATCACCCACCCTTTACCCAGGCTGCACCCAGAAAGAAATCATAGACTACCTCAGGCCCATGAGGAGGGCCTGGACAGAGATCTGAGGGCCAAAGACCAGGAAGTGAGCTCCCTAATGGAGCCCTCCTCCTCAGCCAGGAAAAGTACTTTTTCTTCCTTTTTTTTTTTTGGTCCTGTGGCTTGAACTCTGGGCTAGGGCACTGTCCCTGCGCTCTTCAGCTCAAGGCGAGTGCTCTACAGCTTGAGCCACAGCGCCACTTCCTTTTTCTTCCTATTTTTTTCCCTTCTCTTTTCCTGATTGTACTTTTTGGGGGAGGGTTGTGAAACTTGAACTCTGGGCCTGGGCGCTATCCCTCAGCTCTTCAGCTCAAGGTGAGCGCTCTACCACTTGAGCCACAGAGCCACTTGTGGTTTTCTGGTGGTTAATTGGAGATAAGTCTCACATGGACTTTCCTGCCTGTGCTGGCTTTGAACCCCAGTCCTCAGATCTCAGCCTCCTAAGTAGCTAGGACTATAGGCATGAGCCACCAGCGCCTGGTTGTATTGTTTTTCTCTGTAATAATTATACAAGTTTCACCGGATGCTGGTGGTTTACACCTGTAATTCTAGATACTCAGGAGGCTGAGATATGAGGATCACGGTTCAAAGTCAGCCCAGGGATGAAAGTTTGTGAGACTCTTATTTCCAATTAACCACCAAGAAACTGAAAGTGGAGCTGTGGCTCAAAGTGGTAGAGCCCTGAGCAAAAGAGCTCAGGGACAGAACCCAGGCCCTGAGTTCAAACCCCATGACTGACATGCACACACATGAAATTACATAAGGTTCTTAAACACTACTATATTGTATATCTTTATCTTGTATACTTCTCCCTCCTTTCCTTGTCTTTTTCTTTCTTCCTTCTCTCATTCTTCTTTTCTTTACTACTTAATTTTTAATACCTTATACTTTTTAATACCTCTATTTTAAATACACAGTTTATCCTATAAGAACCTTAGTTCTTTTCTTCTACAACCATATTAGAGATGGAGCTGATAATCCAATTTTTTAAACTACATTTGAATACTTGGTTTGGGGCCAGGCATGGTAGTACATGTCTGTAATCACAGCAACTAAGGAAGTAGCAACAAAATTGCTGTTTGAGATCAGCCCAAAGTTAGAAAGGTCTTATCTTAAAAACAATCCAAGGGGGCTGGGAAGGGGGCTCAGTAGTAGAGTGCTTGCCTTGCATGCATGAGGCCCTGGATTCTATTCCTCAGCACCACATAAGCAGAAAAAGCTGGAAGTAGTGCTATGGCTCAAGTAGTAGAGTGCTAGTCTTGAGCTGAAGAGCTGAGGGACAGCGCCCAGGCCCAGAGTTTAGGCCCCACGACTGACAAAAATAAAAAATAAAAATAAAAAAATCCCAGTGTGATGGTACACGTACAAAGCCAGCCAAGGCACAGTTAGTGTGAGGCTCTGTATGCGAAAGGACTGGGGAGATGGCTCAAGTAGTAGAGTGCTTACCAGACAAACAAAAGGTTCTATATACCATGCAAAAAGAAAGAAAAGAGGGGTTGGGAAGGTGGCTCAGTGGTAGAGTGCTTGCCTTGCATGCATGAGGCCCTGGGTTCGATTCCTCAGCACCACATAAGCAGAAAAAGCCGGAAGTGGGCTGTGGCTCAAGTGGTAGAGCACTAGCCTTGAACTGAAGAGCTGAGGGACAGCGCCCAGGCCCAGAGTTCAGGCCCCATGACTGGCAAAAAAAAAAAAAGAAAGAAAGAAAAGGGAAAAGAAAACTGAAAATGTGGCCAAAATGATACAATGCCAGCCCAGAAATATTGAGGGCCTAAGTTCAAACCTAGTACCACCAACAAAAAGAAAAGACAACTAAATATATCTATATACATATGCTTTCCATTTTTTTGTTTTCGTTTTGTTTTTTGGTGCCAGTCCTGGGGCTTGAACTCAGAGTGCTGTCCCTGAGGTTTTTTTGCTCCAGGCTAATGCTCTACCACTTGAGCCACACTCTACTTCTAGCTTTTTGGTGATTGATTGGAAATAAGAGTCTTGTGGACTTTCCTGCCCAGACTGCCATTGAATCTTAATCCTCAGATCTCAGCCTCCTGAGTAGCTAGGATTACAGCATGAACCACTGGCACCCAGCTACAATTGATTATTTTATCACTGTTGTATGCTTTCTCTCCTCTAAGTAGCAGAAAAGAAAAGATATCCAACCTAGATGTACACAACTTCTATCACAATATAGAAGTGCAAGTAATGTGAAAAGGTCACTATGACGCTTCCAGAAGCTTCTAACCAAGTCCAAAAATACTGAAAGTGTTGGAATGCCTGAA